AGAGAGAGAGAGAGAGAGAGAGAGAGAGAGAGAGAGAGAGAGAGAGAGAGAGAGAGAGAGAGAGAGAGAGAGAGTCTACATCGGATCGTTGCTTCCACCATTACTGCATCACCTGTCGTATTTGTTTTTCCGAGCGAAGCCACAACAGGTCATCTGGTTTGCCAATGGTATGCAATAAATCGCCTGGCAGTTCTTGTCAGAGCAATCAATGCTGCATCACCCTTGTAATCATCATATCTTATGAAATTGGTCCCTGGGCCGACTTCCTAGCATGTGATCTTCCCACAAATAGAATGGAGATTTTTTTCTTTTTCTTCCAGAAAGAGAAAAAAGACACACACACACTCTGTCGTATTTGTTTTTGGGAGCAAAGCCACAACAGGTCATCTAGTCTGCCAATGGTATGCAATAGCTCTTGTCAGAGCAATCAATGCTGCATCGCCCTTGTAATCATCGTATCTTATGAAATTGGGCCCTGGGCCGACTTCCCAGCATGCGATCTCCTCACAAATAGAATGGAGCTTTTTTTCTTTTTCTTCCAGAAAGAGAAAAAAGACACACATACACACACTCTACCGTCTTGATTCCTGTGGAGGTTTGGAGGGTGAGGGCAGCATTACGATTTCTGTTCTTTTTTTCTTTCTTGTTTCTTTCTTTTTTACAGCACTACGTAAATATAACCTAAATTGCATTCTTTGGAGGCCAGCATAGGCCGTGTGCTACCAGACCAAAAAGGCTGGAGGTGCCAGCCAAAACAAAACAACGCTGCAGACTGCAGTGTCTCTTCGGCCAAAGGTTGGTGCACGGTTCCACTCCGCCTCGGCAAAATGAGGATTGGAGGTAGTGGTGTTTAAACCGCCAATATGGCGGACCTTGCATTGCTGAATGTCGTTTCTTTTTTTCTTTTCGCCTGAACGAATTGTAATCGGTCCTTGCCAGGCCGGTACGTAGAAAGCTCGGCCTCCTTGTCTACTGCCAAAAGTGTTGGAGGACAGGGATGGTAGTGGCAGTTATTGATCTCAGAGTATTTTCTGCAGCCTACAATCCAAAGGTAGACCAAGAGTTGTCGGACTACATCTTTGGGGCAGGCCCCACTCTGTCTGTGGTTGTGCTAATTGTGGTCATTTTTGTCATGAACAGTTCCATGAAAACAATGCTCTGGCGAGGGTGCTATGTTTGTGCCAAGAAAGAGCGAACCTGGCTGTTTATACCAGGGCTGAATTTCCGGTCCTACCCGGGGGCCCTTTCCCCACCGGAACCGGGCCGGTGGACCGTGCCGGTTCCCCCCGGGTAGGAAATTGCGCCGACCGGTAGCGGCCAATTTTGATTTTTTTCGGGGGCCGGGAGGCCTCCCTGCGGGTCGTGGAGGCCTCCCGGCCCCCCAAAAAAATGAACTGGGTCCAGTAGGCCCGCCAGAATCTTGAAAAACTGGTGGCCTATCTGGGCCGTCGATCTGATGAGATCGGCGGCCCAGATAGGCCGCCAGTTTTTGAACATTCGGGCGGGAAACCACCCGAAGTTCAACTGGCCAGCGTTGGGCCCCGCAACCCCGTGTGAAACTTTCCTCATCACTTCGACACTTCGTCGCAGTGACGAGTGCGGGAAACCACCCGACTTTCGACTGTGCCCCTCATCACGTCGGGCACGGCACGCCATCGCCTTCCCCCCCCGTCATTCACCGGTCAAGGTAAGTGGTTGTATCTTTCTTCTTCTTCTTCTTCTTCTTCTTCTCCTTCTTCTCCTTCTTCCATTTCTACTTCTTCTTCTTCTTCTTCTTCTTCTTCTTCCCCCCTTCTTCTTCTTCTTCTTCTTCTTCTTTTGGCATAGCCGAAGTTTGAGAGAGAGAGAGAGAGAGAGAGAGAGAGAGAGAGAGAGAGAGAGAGAGAGAGAGAGAGAGAGAGAGAGAGAG